CTGGGCTCTGGCAAAGGGCAGAGGTAGATGCTTACCTGGGCCCTGCTAGCTGTGGGCAGCTGATTCCCCAAATGCTACCCAGGTTGGCCCTGTGGTGGCCTCCCTGCCGTGGGTGTATGGGGAGCGAGCGGGGGCCAGTGGCTTGTCCATTTACCTGGGAAGACAGGCAGTCTGTGAGCTCCAGACTCCAGGGCCCAGTAGTGGACATACTCAGGCTTTTTCTCCGGCCCAGCCCCTGGGGGCCTGAGGCAAGCATGTCTGGGGCCTGGCACTTTCCACAGCAGCTATGAGGCTTGCAGACCCCTGCCTTCCCAGGCAGTGACAGTGGAGGACAGGGTGGTCTTTGCAGTTGGTGGGGGGCCAGGGTGGCCCCCAGACACCAGCCTTTTGGTTCAGCTTCAGGCCCTACGAGCGGAAAGCTTCCCCCACACTCTGTGCCAGGGACCTTTTGCCCGTGGGAGGCCTCCTTGCCAGGGCTGTTTGCTGAAAAGGGATGCCAGGTGGGGTAACCCTTGGGAAATAGGACAGGGGTCCCTGCCTGCAAGCTGAGCCTCAGAACTGATCCAGCCCAGGCCTGGGAGAGGCTGCAGGGGCAGGGCCTGAGGAGTCCTGTACAGTTTGATTGGGAAGAGATTCTAAGTTTACATCGAAGTTGCAAAAATAACCCGGTGAACTCCAGCAGACTCTTAGATTCACCTTTGCCATATTTGCTCTTCTTCCTATCTCTGTCTACCCATTTGACCCATCTGAATGTTGATCACTTGAGAATAAGTTGTAGACATCATGCCTTTTGGCCCCTGAGTGCGTCTAAGAATAAGGATATTTACATAACCAGTTATCCAAATGAGGACATGGACATCGATATAGTACTGTTATCTAAGCTACATATTCATACTTCCCCAGTAAACCCCGTAGCGCCCCCCATCCCCCATCCAGGAATACATGCTGCGTTCAACCTCCTAGGTCTCTAATCTGAAACAGTTCTTCAGCCTTTCTTTGTCTTTCTTGACCTGGATGTTTTTGAAAGCACAGTTATTTTAAGACTGACCCTGAATTTGGGTTTAGCTGATGTTTCCTCGTGATTTGCCCCAGGTGGGCACTGTTAGCAGGAAAGACCAGAAGTCCCTTTGTGTCTTCCCAGAACAGCCCCTCTCTGGAAGCTGGCGAGTCCGAAAGCAGCTTGTCTCTGGCTTGTCTGGGCCAGAGGGAGCTCTCAGGGGTGAAGCCTGCGGAGGGAAACGTGCCCCAGGGACCTGTAGACAGGCTGGCTAGAGCTGCAGGAACGACACAACTTCCCTGGTGGTTTCTGGGGAAGTGTATCCTGCTACTTCATCGTCTGGGGGCTTTAGAGTCCCAGCAGCGCTCCTCCCAGTGCCCCCCGCCCCAGCCTTGTTTTTCTCAACTCTGAGGCAGGGATACAAGAGCTCCTAGCAGCTGGAGTCAACAAGATAGTGCGTCGTGATGCCCGCTGAGCCCATTCTAGGGACTGCGTGGGGGCTGAGCATCCTCGGATCACAATTGAGATTAGGCACTGGGGAGCCCTGACCCTGCTAAAGCCAATGGTCAGGGCCAGGCGGCAGGGGGGCGGGGCGTGAGGGGTAGAGCCTGGAGACTGTCTGCCATTCTGGTCTTTAACTGGGTGGCTGGGACCTCCTGTCTGGGAAGGATGGATGGGTCCAGGGTTAGGGTAGTGCTGTGGGGCTCCACAGACCAGGATCCTTGGTGGGGAGGGGAGTGGTGTGGGGCTGGGGTTATCAACACACAGTCCTCTCAGTCTTAGCCTGCCCCCATTCCCTGAGGTCCCTGGGTACTCCAAACCTTGCTAACTCCCAACCCATGAGCAGAAATGCAGAAAATGCTGCACAGGGACTCTGATGTGCTGACTGAGCCCCAGCTTGTGGGGGTGGGGGGGGGCATCGTCCCTTTCTTGGGGCTTCCCTTACACTGACCATAGACATCCCTGCCCATCCCTCTGGCCCTGTTCTGTATGGAAGCAGCAATATGCTGGCATCACAGTTTCTTAGGATATAGAGTCCCCTTGGGGTTTAAGCCTCGGAACATGGATTATGTGTGGGTGCTGGACCCCATGTCCTGTGGGCTGTGTGGCTCTGCCCAGGTTAGGCCAAAGGAGGGGGGCCAAAGGAGGAGTTTGCCTGTCCTCCCCACCTCCTGCAGCACTAGCCCCTCATGGGGCTCTGGGTAGGCAGGGACCCTGGTTTCTGAAGGGAGAGTTGCCTCACCTTCCTGGCCTCTTCTGCAGGCTGAAGGCTGACCTGCCTGCCTTGCAGGGGGAGGGGTCTCTGACAGGCGTCAGGCATCTCACCCAGGCCTGCAGAGCCCAGCAGTCCAGATAAGGGACGGCGGGCCGGGCCCGGAGAGGTGAAGTGCCCTGCCCCTGCTGTCCCGAGGCTCTGCTGCCAGCGCAGGGTCCTCACAGCTGTTTTCTAGGAGAACCTGTTGGTCCCCCCGCCCCCCCATCAGTCTGTCTTCACTGGGCTCGGGAGCAGCCTGGCCACAGTAGGGGTCCTGGAGCCCCTGTGAAACGGGAGGCCTGGTGCAGTGCTGACCCCAGAGTCCCGCACACAGCGCCACCTCCGCAGCCGGTTAACCGCGGGGGCCACGTCCCTGTCGGCCCTGCGGCCTGCGCCCCAGCGCCTGTCCTTGGCCTTGCAGCCGAGGGCCCGCAGGAGCCCGCGCCCACCCTGTGGAACGAGCCCGCCGAGCTGCCGTCGGGAGAGGGCCCCGTGGAGAGCACCAGCCCCGCCCGGG